ACACACACAGACACACACACACATACACACACAGACACACACACACATACACACACACACAGACACACACACACACATACACACACCCACCTAGACTTTGTTAATATTCTCCCTGGAGGTTTTTCCATAATTCAGGCCAACTGTATTGTGATGGGTTATTCAACATTCATGAACTCTAGATATCTAGAGAACGGACTGATTACCAGACAAATGAAAGACTTCAATTATTCACCCCCAACTCACATATGCACACATGCACCTATACACACACCTGTGACTTCAGCACACGGAGCTTTTTACATGGACACACTTGGGCAGCACCTTTAGAAAACACCCACACAAACACACAAAGTAGTATTTGTGTGCGAACGCACACCAGCCATATAATACCACAGGTACTGTGAAATAGTTTTAAGCCATTCATTTATTCCAATCAATCAGCTGTTTTACCTTTTTACTCACAAGATTCTCAAGATTATAAATGCACAGTTGCACACAACAAAATCCTGCATTCGATACATTCTCAGTTTCTCTCATACACACATCAACACACAGATGGGCACAAACAAACAGGAAAAGCTATCAGGAAACTGACCCTGGACTCCAATGTCTACAGTAAATTTATTTTTAATAGCCATACATACGTTAGTGTATGCATATGAAGACGCAAACACATGGATGTGGGCACCCACAAATAGTTTCACTGTCAGTGTCAGACAGGCACACACACTTATACACACACAAAATGAAAACACTCCAGACTCTGGGCTCAGGGAGTTAACCAACCGTGAGAACCCAGACGATATTTCCTCACCTTTAAAATCAACCCATAATGACGATAGAATGGGCCTGCCTATGGAAATATCTCATGATGATGCCCATCCACACACACACAGATACACACACTCAAACAAATGTGTATGAAAATGATACATAAACACCTGACACAAATATAGAGAAACTAAATAGAGAGACACACACACACAACAAACCAAAGTGTCTTTGGTAGTCGGCCTTTTAAGCATTTTCTGAGATGGAAAATCAGCCTAATCAGACAGTAATAGTCAATGATAGATGGGTTAGGGCAGACAATCACTGCCCCATAAGCATAAAACTCAGCCCAAAGTGAACACTCATGTATGCCTGTATATGTGCTGAGGTCTTGAAAGGCCAGAAGTTGAATGGAAAGATACTCAGGGCTTTTGTATCAGCTTGACACACACCTCTCTCTTTGTTTGTTTGTCTTTTAATTATTAAAAACATGTTTGACATGATGGATTTACTCTGTGTAAGATGATTAAAGCCTTCAGTTTTGCCTTACGTTGATTGTGGATTGTTAAATGAATGAAATGCCACTTTTAAAAGACTAATATCCCCAAAATATCCCAAATTACCTTACAGAGAAAGAATTCAGACCCAAACATCCTTTCATCCATAGGCCTGTTTACATAGATCCTAACTCACCTGGAGAAGACCAGGAAAGAGAGATGGAGAAGGGGCCTGACACTGTCACATTTTGGGGAGGTGGGATTCCAGCGGGGCAGGAGACTGGTGTTTGCAAAGCGTATTTGTCGCTCAGACCAATCCCACCCTTGGTACTTGCCTCCAGCTCATACAAGTACCTGCAGAGAGGAGTATAGAGAGGTGAGGAAAAGGAAAGGGTAAGCTGAAATGAGAGATAAAAGGAAAACGGTAGACGGATAATGCATGAACTTATGTGTCATGTCACATGTATAGTATTCAACTATCACAATTACTGACTCTTGCTCATCTGATTCCTTTCCTTTCTTCAAACACCATTTTTCATTTCCAAGTGCTGTTTTCATTTCCATCTATCATGCTCAACAAAATTCCGATCAATGTAAAGTTATCATGACAATGGGAAAAAAAAGCATCATGGCGTTGTTTTGCTGAAGGGTGAAAGCGGAGCCATGGATTGCCATTAAATAACATAAAGAATAAAATCAGTCCTCTGAGAGATATCACATAGTATAGAGATGCTTTCTTTCCCTGGATAAAATGGAATTGTATTTTTTCAACCCAAGAAGCCAAGACGCCAACTTAACTGATGCTGCTAAATTAGTTGTGTTGCCCCCTTTATTAACAAAAACGAGCACTCAAACCACCTTTAATGGCTTCAGTTTTAAAGTGATTATATCATCTTTGCAAAACAGAAATGAACTTTAGTGTGTTTTTCTTTGTGCATGCTCAGTATAAGCATCAGTGAAGTCAAGAGCATGAATAGCAGCTGGTGGGCTTTACCAAGGCTAACAAAAATAACTACACGCAACCCTTTATCCTAAGCTTAAAATTCAATCACTGTGGAAGTGTTTCTGATTGATCTTCAAGAGTTTGTACCTTATTAAAAGTCTCACGTGAATTCTAATAAGAAAAAAACACTGATAGAGACAGATAGGGTAAGCTAGTATGTAATAACCCCCTTAGGGATATTTCAAACCACTTATGTTTCCACAGTGAAATGCATTCCAGCTGTGCGATCCCAGTGGATCCAAAGTCCTTCTCCATTTAGAGCGTCTAACTTGCATGGTGTTGCCAAATGAAATGAAATAACCGGCACTGCATTCACATGATTTGTCGTGACTACACTTCTAAATCAGTGCAATGTTGGCTTCATAGATTCATTTAGTTTGCGCTACAGACTGGGGGAAATGGGAATCAAACCTGCAGCCTTCATATTGAATTACAACCACTCTATGTCCTCAGCCAAGGCCACCTATGTGGCCCACATCACCTGTCCTTGAAATAAAATGTCAGCTAAACCAGTAACTTCAGGTCCATTTCTTCCTCTTTCTTTGTCTCTAGTGTACACCATCCTGTCTCTATTTCATATGTCTTGCTGCCCCTCTCGGCCCACTCTCCACCTCTTTTGCTCATGACATCATAAGATAGATTTTCCTTTTAAGAGCATGTGGCTGCTTGGTGCTAAAGCCTACATTAAGTGTGTAAGTGGGCCACCATTTAACATTAAAAGCCTTTAATTTGCTATAAACTCCAGCACACATGCATTAATAGGTGGTGATGTTGGGTTACTGTTCATGTGCTGAGCGTTTTAAACAGGAGGCCATTAGTGCCTCAGCACTGGGTTAGAACACACTCATGGCATCGTATAAAAACTACTCATATGTTACCTTGATACATGTGGAGACAAGCAAAGAAAATCCCAAATAAAAGTGCCTCAATGAGACCCTTCAGTAACGTGAAGGAGAGAAAGAAAGAGAGAGAGAGGGACAAACATTATGAGAGGGTGCGAAGAAGAGACTGAGTGTGATGGAATGGAAGAATTTTATCATGGCATATGGTTTCAGAGGGAGAATGAAGTTCAGCACTTCATCACCAGAAGATATTTACTTAAACGTAAACACCACCTAGGGATATCAAAAGTAAAATTGTGTGTGTGTTAGGTAATCAGTAAGTGGTGCATTTGCATCTGTTTGGTCATGAATGTGGTTGTGTGTATAAGTGCGTGTGTGTGTCTCTGTCCTGCGGGGCCAGCCAGAGGGAATAGGTTAATTCTCTCGTCATCTTAGACACTTCCTGGGCTGCCGAAGCAAAGTGACAGCTAATCAACATTGTCATAAATAATCAATGGCCACTTTGAGCAGTTTCATGCACAGACACACGCACACACACAAAGGAACGGGTGCGCGCTCACACGCGCACGCACAAGTCTGCCTGGATAATGGGGCCGGTGCTCCCAGTGTAATTCCTTGTGCAGAACTAAATTGGGAAAAGAAGGGAAAAGGATAGAGAATGAGGTAAGAGGGAAGGGATGGGAGAGCTGGGAGGGTGAAAGGAAAGAGAAGCGAATAGGAGGTGAGACAAGTGATGAGAAGCGAAGGGTCCGGACAGGAATGCCTTCTGGCAGACTATCTGGAATTAGGGAAAATTAAATGTCACACACACATATACAGTCCTATCTCCTTCCTTCCTTTCAGTTTCACTCGCACATGGAGTAGATTGGAGTACTGTGGGGTGTTATCCCAGGAATTCTATTTGTGGTAAAGAGGAGTTGTCTCAGGAGGGAGAAAGCCTCCGAGAGGCAGACAGATGAGGAGGAGAGCAGAAACCGCATTACACTAGCATGATTAACACAGAAACCCATTTTTAAAAAAAAGGCACAGACTAATAAAGGTTAAATGAAAATAAACAGATAAATAAAATGTACGCTCCACTGCTGTCTTTAATCAAAAGCCAGATCTGAATCATGATTTGAATTTGCGTGCATAGTTATATTTGCATCTGTCATTCTGCCAAATATTTACTCACTAAATAACACAAATAGACATGTAGAGACTGCATCCCTGAGAGAGATGTGGATAAGCTGATAGGGATGTCTTTAAAAAAGGTTGATCCCAACATAAACATTAAAAAATACATACAAATGGGAAAATTAGACAATAAAGTGAAGACTATGAACTGCTTTAAGTACTGCACACATTTGACCTGCTTGGCTTCGTGTTTAAATGTTAGCAAATGCACGTTCTCTACCTGTGTTTTGGAAGGAGTCCAGTGTCGGTATAATTCTGGTCACGGTAGTTTCCGGTAAAAACTGTGAGGCCATCTCTGATCAGCCTGTACTGGAGGATGTGTCCATTCGGCTGATCTGGCTGGTCCCAGTACAGTTCCACCGCAGAGGTATTTCTTATCAAGTGTCTTGGCCTTGACCATACACCTGGAGTAAAATGGAAGAATAGATTTTAGATTTAGAATATGATTTAAATTTAATTAACATTTAAAATTATAACAGAATAAAAACAATCATCTGTGAAGAGAAAATTTGTAAAAAATGTGGTGGAAAATTAATTAAAGTCAAATATTTTTACCATTACATGTACATCAAGCATAAAGTACATAGATACATTCTTATTTTACAGAATTACTTCAGTACGGATATTTAGTGGGCATTGAACCATGAGGATAACCTGAGTGATGGGAAGGAGGAGGAGCTTAAAAAGGTATGAAAATAAATGGTCTGATTTAAATCAGAGACACAGAGTCTATATTTGGTTTATCTAAAGAAAAGGGGAAAAAGAACGATGACGAGCACAGCAAAAACTAAAGGTGTGGATGAAGGATCAAATTCTAAATTGTAGTGCATTATATGAAAGAAAAATGGATGACATCATCTTAGTCAGGCAGAATATAAGGTGTTGTTCTCCTGTATAGAAGACGGGAGGGAGAGAAAGGTGAAGGGCAGAGAGATGCAAAGTGTGCAAAGAGTTGGAGTTGCAAAGTGAAATATCATGTGGGTAACAAAGAAATTAAAAGAGTAACTTCAAAATCAGTATAGATCAGATGTTACAAATTCATTTTAAGAAATGCAGTTTTATAGAACTTCTCCCAATGATAGAATAAGGCAATTAAATTACATGTAGCATAATTAGATTTCACCACGGTAAAGAAAGAAGTTTCTTCATTCAAATGAATCATTAATATCTATTATTTAACTATTTGAGATGAGAGATATCCGGTAAAGGTACGGATATTCCAGGAGATAAAAAGCATGTGTACACAATTGTGAGTTAGTGAGTGTGTACCAGCAGGTGCGGCTTCCAGGGTGCGTCCTTTAGATGGCCGGCTGGCTCCACACCCAACAGATGTACAGGCCACCAGCACAAAAACGTAGTCAGTGTATGGCTGCAGACCTGTAGCACACAGACATGAATTCAAACAAAAAAACTAAACAAAAAGGGATTCACTCACACAATCTTGTTTTTCACCCCATCACCCAGAACCTCTAAACTTCTCTAAAAACATAGTGACCAGGGCGGTATACAGTGTCAGGGGCAGCGGATGCGAGGAGAAACTGTAGACCGAAAAATAGGCAGAAAAGTATTGGGTAGGAAAAAAAAGGAAAGCTTGCCCTGCCTTTCTCCCTCCCTCCGCTGCTCTTTCCACACTCTCTCAACGGATGGATCCATATCTGTCGGTGTTAAATTATGCATGCCATAACTCAATAATGAAACAACGTAAAGATGGGCATCCGTGGAACTGACATGGGATAGGACTGGTCCAACGCTGTAATGTCATCAGCTTTTGATCTATGATAATTATGATACCTCTGTATGCGTTTAGGCAACAGTGTCCAGACATGATTTATTTATAGGCACCCGCTTTGCCGGCTAAAAGACATCACAGAGCGACTGAGTGGTCCCCTTAGTGCGTCCGCCAAACCCCAGCTTTTAGGATAATATTCAAATACCTAAATTTGGTATATAGAAATGAGCAAGCATTATTATTATTTAAAAAAAATTTTTCATTGGAAACCTCTTTTTTCTTGAAAGATATAATTCTGGTCTGTTTTTTTGATGGGGGCGGATAAATGATGATGAATGCAAATCCATAGTGCTGCCACGAGGGATGACTGGGTGTTTTATAGTCATTCACTTAACGGACACCATACAAAAGCTTGCAAATCAAATTCCGGGGAAAAATGAAAGAACTCATATGGCATTATTTCAAAAGGATGACTGCATAATATATTGTGTTGAATTCTTTATTTCTGCCTTTTTCTATACTGTAGTAGGTAAAGCAGTAAACGCTTTATTCCTTAAAAGATTCTTGACAAAACAAATATAAGTTATAGCTATTCTGTTAATTACTTTGTCTGTATCATTTCTTTGCTTTCAGTTCTTTGTTCAAATATTTAACACATTTTCACTAAAAAGCTCTAAAAGGCTTAACTTTGTTCAATTTTTTCTAATATGTGTTACATAAAAGAGGTAATTTATTGGGATTTATTGCCACTAACATAATGTACAAACTGTTATTATTAACATTTAACATTTCAGTAAGACAATATTTGCATTAGAATCAAAATATTTTAAACACATTTAATAATTGAAATGAGCTAAATCTGACTATGTATATTTGAAATGGCAAACCCTACGGTGTCTCAGCACAGCACGTATGGCGATACCCACCTTCCACACACACAGACGCAGACTCACCCACACCCAGTGTAAGGCACGGTGGAACACTTCACCACCTCTTCCCCACGTCTCTTTCTACTGCTTAGCCTGCTTAACATGCCTTGCAGCCTGCCACGCTTAACCCAACCTCTGATCAATGTGTCTGAGCATGTGTGTGCAAATGTTGCCCCTTGTTTGGGTTGAATAAAAGAAATTTGCCAGCCATACAAAAATACTAAGGTTAAAGCCTAGGGCTCTGTTACACTACTTAACTGTGTAACTAAGCATGTTTATATGCGTGTGCGTGCTCTAACATCCAAAATTAAATCTACAGTGCAAGAGATGTGATTTGTTGCAGTAACCCCTCCCTATGTTTCCTCACACACAGGCTGGAAGTGTGTCCCCACAGCCAAAACAAGGCCTAAATTGGTCAAACAACTGTGTTGTAATTTCTTTAAAAAAGCCAGAAATATTAAACTTCATGTCACATTTGGGACGAGCAGAGATGGATTCACATTTAAACGAAACACACATGCATCCATTTGCGTACCGGAAAATAGTACGAATGTTTTGAAGAATTTCTAATTAATTACAGCCAACAAAGAAGGGAGGACTTACCAGAGAACTTTTTTATATAAGATGCTTTATAATCAACTCTCTGAAAAATATTATCTAATTCATCCACTGTTTGTGACAGTTTAAATAAACCAAAACAAGCAAACTTCTCCTTTTTTTAAATAGATGTGAATAAGCAGATAAATCCAAACCAATATCTTTGAAATCCCTTTCAGGGCCTCCAATTACCCAAAACAGTAAGCCTGAAGAGGGCAGTGTTGTTCTGCTATAAAAAATAACACTGAGGCGCATTTGTGCACACCTGCTTCTGTATGTAACTCTGTACACAGTTTTGTGCTTATATGCCTGACAACAGAAAGACAAGAACTTTAAACCATTTCAAAAGTGATCACTGAGAAGTAAAAAAAAACAGGCAGAAGGGGTTTTTGATGTGAGTGGCTCACCGATATGAAGTGAGACAAGGTTGTACCTGCCATCATGCAAGCTGGACACAGAGGATATCAGTGTGTATTTGTGTAACACCTGGAGGAAAACTGAGGGAATGTGGTCCAAAAATAGAGGGAGGAGCTGGTGCTTGCATTTGAGTAAAATGTCCAAGAGAAAGGCTGTGCATGGTAAAGACAACAAAAGAATGGCAGGACTGCAAGACTGTTCCGAGTTCTAAGAGGTTGGTTGATGGCAGTTAAAAAAATCTCTTGACAAGATGCCATTCTCTGTTTACATTAGAGAATACGACATGGTGACGGGCACGGGCACTGACGGGCGCAATATTGTGCCTGAAACCTGATACAGAGTCAGAGAGACTGTCAGGTGAAACAGAGGAGGAGAAAAAATGGAAAACCAGGCAGGGAATGAAAGGGAGTAAAAATATTGACAAAGACATGGAAAAGGAATAGACGCAAGAGGAGGAAAGAAAAGTGATGATACAGTGAAAAACGGAAAAGAAAGTTAGGTTCCTTTATTTAGATGAAGATGGAAAGAAACAGATGATGGATAAAGAAGAAGCCAGAAAAGAAGGTGAGGAGGGAGGAGAAAGAGAAGAGAGCTTTGATAAAACCTCCTAAATAATTAAGAGTTTGACTTCCTGTCTGTGGCTTCCTAATGCAGGGACTGTCTGGGGTGGAACAATGAGATCAGGTTCACACACTCACACTTTCACACGTAGACAAATGGACACACAAGCACGTCCTGTAAAACAAGCAAACATGTTTCATGCAGGTCGGGCTCGCTGCACTGCACATAGGTATGACGTGCACAAAAAAAAAAAAATCTAAATCAACAAATGAGAAAACACAAGCGCTTTAGACATCTTTGTCACGGAAAGTTACAAGAGAGTGGTGTTCACATGACAGAGTCTGTCTGTGGCATGCTAAGGTTTAGCATTTTAACAATGGATATCTTCAAATACTTTCTATTCAACACTGGTAATATCTTTAATAATTCAGTGGAAAAAATACTTTTTCCAGCCAGTGGTTAAGATTTGATTTAAATAAATACTGAAATACGTGCTTACTTTACCCCAAAGTTGTTTTTGGAGGATAAAGAATTGATAAACCACAACATGGGAAGCACTAAAGAAAATAAAGAAATTTAAATAAAAAAACAACAAGTAAATAGATCCTCTCCATACAGCAAAAACCTTGGCGACTTGGAATCTACATGGATGTAACTTTGTCGTGCACTGTCCACAAAAACAACATTTAACTTCATGGCCTAAGGAACATGACATGGCTGCTTCTACAGAGGCTGCACTCCACAACTCACAGCTACAAGAAGACATGCTCAGAGTTGCTAAGTCCAACCATAACCTAAAACACCTTTGGCTTGTCAAGTCTTTCATTTTTCCCTTTCTCTTTTATGGAGGGAGCGAGGATCCTAAACTAAAGAGAGCCGGCATGATTGACTGGGTTAGATAAGCAGCTTTTTTAGCTCACACCTCAGTTCCATATAGATATATTTGCAAAAGGGTCTACTTGGACTGCAGCTGTGGCTTTCCCATAGAAGGTTGCACAGAGAGGCTCCTGAGTAGTTGAATCAAATATTTTATTCTGCTCTTGCTTATACTTTTGATGAAAGGTAGATTTAGGAGGACAGGTTCTGGTCCTTCTCCTCCACCTTTCCTTGTCTCTACATGCCACTACCTTTAGCATGTCCCACACAGTGTGGGCTTTGAAGGAGAGGCATGAATAAATAAAAGAACATACTCTATTCCCTGCTGTTCTAAATTAATAACGAGCCTAGAAAAGACCAATTAAACACATGATTAATGCCATAATCTATATAATTGCAGGCAATAATTCATTGTGAGCTAATGATAGCAATACTTAATATTGATTCACATGGGGGGTCTTTTTACAGTAGTGCTTAATTCTTCCTGTGAAGTGTCACTTTTCAAAACTGGGGGGGAAAAAGCTATTAATAGGAGTCTGTTTCCTAAAGGAAATAGCTGATAAACAGGAAGTGGTGGGAGTTTTTTTTGTTTCTTTTTTGGGGTTGGCATAAAAAGGAGCTGAAACACATCCTAGCATTCAACATGCAACACAATTGTGCTGCTGCATCAGTATTTCTGGTATTTAATCATAACTCAAATACATCAGAGAAGTGTTGCTGTGTGTTATAAAGCACACCTTTATGATTTCATTACAAACTTCCCGGGAAATGATTTATATGCTGTGTTTCAAATAACAGAACTCACAACATTTGTAGCAAAATATGCCCTGATTTTTTTCCTTCTTTCAATTTTAGATCATACTACTATACAAAAAAGTTAAGCCATTCTAGATTTCATTATTCAGAATTTTTTGCTTTTTTCACATTTGGTCACAACTTCTCATTCTTGCCCTCAACGGACCTATTTACCCCTTTGGCTATACAAATGTTAGTCATATTAAGTTAAATTCAAAACTTCAGGAATGAGGATTCATTAACTGACAGTTTTCCGTCTTAGATATTTAATTACACTTCGTTCTGTGGTTTAAATGACTGTATGGCTGAGAGCTCTTCAAGTGCCTGTCTCTGACAGACAACCACAGAGAAGATGAATAATAGCATATTAAACATTAAATATGAGGGAATAGCACAGCAATTACTCCTATTCATATTTAACTGAAAACACTTGGATTCATCTATCCATCTTTCTATCTGTTACACCTTTTCTGCTGTTTCTTCTTTGCTTCTTTTTGATAGCAACTTTCCTTCCTGATTACCAAACAAGATTATTGCCCACCTGACATCACTGTTCAACTATTCTGTTTCCATCTATGTGCCAATATTTAACAGGTTTTTACACAAAAATGTGCTAAACAAAAAGCTCCAAATGTTTGGATGAATAGAATGAAGCCACTGAAGAAATGCCTAAATTGTATATTTAACTGAGAAAAGTACGTAAACAACCAATCAATACATATATATATATATATATATATATATATATATATATATATATATTTATATATATATATAGACATATATTTATTTATTAATGCAGACAAAACTTGAAGCTTCCCATGTATAACACGAAACTGCAAAAATGACAGAAAAGTTATTGAGGTCTTTATGAATCCAAATCTTCAAGTTATTTTATTTCTGATCACTCGCAATTGTGAAATATTAAGCATTAGAGTTCCTGCTGTAAAAAAAAACTCAATTGCAATTCAGTGAAATAAATTCCTCAGACATGGATGGGCTGTGACAAAGAGAGCTGCAAAGCAGACAGATAAAAAGAGAGGAGGAGATAAAGCGGGGAGACTGCCCCAGCAGAGGTTTTGGCTGAATACTCATGGTTTTCCTGAGTCTCACAGGGGGGACAGGGGAATTTCACACACACATGCTGGTTGCTTACACTGGCACTTGGGGCTGGTACAGTATTACAGCACATTACTGACTCTATTTGGCATTGTTTGCGTTGCCTCGTGTCTAAACGAACAAACATACATGCACACAACTCCTGACCATACAAGCCAACCACAGGCACCATGGGAATAGTCCTTTGGCTACAAGCAAAGCTGGTCTGGATCCAAGATACAGCAGTGTAGAGAGCTGTGAGAGAATAAATGCCATAGAATTCCAACCAATGTCACTGACCGATTTAAAAAAAAAGAAGACGCAGCGGAAAGAAAAATAGAAGGGTAATCAAAATAGCTTTGGGACATTAAGCACTAATATTCTGACCTATTCCTGTTCCAAAGAGGCAAATATGTCTATGATGATAGCATTGTGCTAGACTTTTCCTGTTGCCTTCAATGCTTTACTTTCTAATGAATTAAGCTGGTGACTATATTCTTTTGCTTTTAAGTTATACATGTAGACATGTGCATAAATGTATTGTGAGTGTGTGAGCTATACAAATAAAGCTTGTTTAATGGGCACCTGCTTTCCAAATGTATCTTAAATTCCTATCTAAAATTTGGTTGATATGCAATCTAGATCTTTCATGTTTCTTCTGGGCTTAATGTGTCTTACTTTTCTTCATGTTTGTTTAGATCGGTGAAAGGATTTCAGTCATAAAAGGTTTGGAGGGAGTCAGGTATAAATTCAGCAATGACAGAAAAGTTTCCTAATCCTGTTCTTCAAGGTGCACTGCCCTGAAAGTTTTCCATATTTTCCTTCTTTGGCACACTTGGTTCAAATGAAGGGGCCTTCTGTAGAGCCTAAAGAGCCAACTAATTGATTTGAATCAAATGTACAGGAGCAAGGACGTGTGAAAAACATGCAGGGCCATAAGGACTAGGGAAATACTCGATTAGAGGGTATCTGCAAACATGTTTACAAAAAAAAATTGGAAAAGAGGAGATGACAGAAACTCAGATTGGAAAGGAGAAGAAAGAGGGAGAGAAATAGAATATTACAGTGAAATAGAAAAGCAGGACAAGGGAAAGAACAAAGAGTGAAAACAAATATCCAGGATTGAGATAAGAAAAGAATATATGGAAGAGAGTGACAAAATTATACATATTTCTTACCCGTCACAGTATAATTTCTGGGTCCACCAGCGTGGGTAAATATGGTCCCAACACCGGTCTGGTTTAAGTGGTACTGCCGGATGATTCCATTCTGACGAGAGGGTTCAGACCAGCTCAGGTGGAGGGCAGAGGGGCTTTCAGCTGTTATGATCGGAGGCTGGACGTCCTCTGGGACTCCCTGGACTGTCAACGCCACCACCTAGACACACACAGGCACGCAAACACGAAGAGGAAAAACTAAATGATATTGAATTTATAAGATTTCAGAATTTTTATAGAAATCTCAGACTGAGTAGAAGCATTTCATATATATATTTATATCAGCTATAATATATTATGATAGTGCCTCTTGCCCATTGACTACTGGGATAAGCTCCAGTCCCCCCACGACCCCATTAGGGAATAAGTGGTTACGAAAATGGATGAATGGATATTAAGATAGTAATCAAAGTGATCCACATATCATACAAAAAGATATACATGGCCCAGTTTAGGATGAAAGAAGAGATTTGCTTGGGTGGTAAATCTATTCAACAAGTTCAACGAAAAAGAAAAAAAAAGATTACAACGACTGGGTGTGTGGATTCCAATGACCTTCATGGCTCATAATAGCAAAACAAATGTGAAGAAAATATTTTCAAAAGTTAAGCTTGTGTTAGTATTTTTTTCCAAGTACAGTGATGAGAAATAAAATCTAATTGGAGATTCTGAGTGTAGTTTCTTTGTGCCCTGTGAATGCTGGGTGCATGTGGCGACCACAGAATCACAGGGCAATCTGCTGCTAATGGCAACAGGGATATCCTGCCTTAATAGACTGTCACTAGCGTTTTCACCAGCTGTCCCACACAGTGCTATGCAATTAGAACACTGCTACAACAACTAAAGAGACACAAAAGCGCAAGCACACAGATAAACACACACACAGGTGCATGCAGGTATAAACACGCAAACACACAGAGGTAGAAGAGGAAACGGCAAAGAAGGCACAGAAGACGAGTGAAGATCCAGTAGCGATATAATTTAGAATAGGGAGTTCGTCCAATGTGTTGTCAACTCAAATCAAAAGATTTAATTTGAATAAATAGGTAGAACATGTAACTACCTGCTCTCTGTAAGTGCAGACCAAATACAATGACAGTAACTCAGAGGTCACATAACTTTGTGGTGGTAGACCACTGAACCTATGACTACAATAGCACTGTTAACAATTTATTACTCTCTCCTATAAATACGTATGCTCATCTTGAGTTTGATACCTACAAGATAGGAAAAAGTCACCTTTTGTGCTCTTATAAATAATTTAAGAATTTGAAACTCACGGGACAACTTTTTAATGACAGTGAAGTCTTTTGGCAACTGAAAATCCATTCTATTTTCCTGTCTTTATACTCTTCTAAGGCCAAGCTGTGCCAGTTGTGTTGAATCTAAGGTTTCTGAATGATAAACCAACTTTTCAGACTGTGCAGTTGATCCCCCAAAAAAAAATTCACTAGACAGGTTATGAATATGAGATGTACTTTAAAGCTGCACATAACTCAAGGTATAGAAATACACACGATTCATTTACTCACTCTTGTATAAAAAAGTATGAAACTCACAGGTCCAAAGCCAAATCTGACTGTGAGAACTAGGCGGCTGTTGTTTTAAAAGCAACGCTGATGGTTGCACATAAGTTAAAGATAAAAGGGGTTGAAAAAGTGAAGAGATAACTGTTGGGAGAAAGTGTGAACTCTGACGTTAAGACCAGGCGAATGACAGGAGACAAATGGGAGAGAGAACAGGGCAAAAGGATTGGAAGACATGGAGGACCAATTGCTCTTCCTCCCGCTCTAAGTGACCAACCGTATTAGATCAGCACCTTCTGTTGTCACAGCAGGTGTGCTCTTGTATGTGCCTGTGTTTGTTTGTCAGTGCCTGTGAGTGTGTGTGTGTGTAAGAGAGGGAGGTGATGCCAGGTAATTGCAGTGGTGTATTAGGTTAGTTCAAGTTATCCCATAATTGGGACTGTTTGGCCAATTTTCACTGGTGTACAAACTAATCCAACTCACTCCTTTTCCACACTCTGCTGGAGTGTGTGTGCACGCTAGTGCGAACATATGTATGTGTGTTTGAGACCAGGACGTGGACCACGAGAACATGGAATGTCTGAAGTTTGTTCATTTAGGTGAGACGAGGGTATACACACATGCATCCTCACACCACTGTTTTTCTTTACTAGTGAAACATTTAGAAGTCCAAAAGCATTGAAAAACAGTCACTTTTGCAGAAATGAAATCAATTTTGAAAAAGAAAGCAACATTAAACAAGAGGATGAAACAATCCCTGAAAGCAACAGAATATTCACATTTCTTTACAGCATGGACAGACATCTTTACAGACTACCCTAACTATTCAGCATTCACTAGAATGAGGTAAACATTTCCACATGAACTGAGACATGCAGTCTTACCTTTGTACTGTCAGTACAACCAGCCCGATTACAAGCCCTCAGCTGGTAACTGTATTCTTGAAAAGGCCCGATCCCACCAACATCAGTAAAACTGTTTTCATCTCCACGGTAACGCTCACGTCCATCCCGCAGTATAACATAGTGGGTGATCACGCCTTGTGAAATAGAAAATAAGAAAAACAGAAAAGACAGTAGTTAAACTGAATACGAACTGAAAGATTTTTCTGAATACCTGAGTCGGCACCACATGGTATTAATTAAACTAGTCAAACTAAATTTTATTACAAATGATAGCTTTTATTTCTGCAACTCATAGAGAGTAGTTACATACAAACATGCATACAAACCATTAGGCCTGGCAGGAGCTTGCCATTGGAGCTGGATGATGTCATCTCGGTCACCAAGGCGATTCCAGCGCGGTGGGGCCACTCCCCATGGTTTGTCTTCACTGGTCCTAACTTTTGTGACATTGCTGGAGCCCCGACCAAAGCTGTTCCAGCCCCTCACTCTATACTCATAAGTAGTAAAGGGCTCCAGGTCAGAGTCTAAAACCCAGCACAAACAAAAAGCAAGAGGAAGAAAGAGGAGTATCAGAAAAATAAATACATTTCAAACCTTTTGAAGTTGATTTTTACATGAATCACTTTTAAGGCAATGATGCAGGCCCTGAAATAGCAGGAAGTTAACAAAGATGTATTTTTGTGGCATTAAGGGGTAACTCATGAATGGAATACACTATTAGTGTTCCATCAAATAAAGATTTAATAAAGGGAAGTAATGATACAGAATGGTGATTTAATTAGTTACTTCCAAAAGAAAATAAAGTGCAAAACTTCATACCAATGACAAAAGCTCAACATTCTTAAGCTGCATCAAGAGTTGTACTGCCAACAGTAAGATATACCAAATACATGCACAAGCACCGACAGACAGTTGTTAACGTGAGGCCATGACTGAAGCCTTTTGACACACAGGTGGTTACAATCCCTCTGGTGGTGAGGTGCAGCTCCAGGAGCATATATACATACAAATGCACTTGCACACATATATGAGCATCACATTTAAGAGCGTAAAGGGACTGCTGCTGTAAATGGACATGGTGTAACTGCCAGTCTGGGGCTCTTATCTTTACGACTGTCATAACTTTAGCAGCAAACACAGTGGCTCACAGATGTAAATAAAACAATGCGTTTGTACAGTTTCTGAAAACTTTAAGTTTAATTACTGAACATTATTATGAATATGAGCACTGTGTAAACAAAGCAGGATATCGTACATCCACAGCACTCACTGCAGATGGGGAGCTATCGGAGAGTGATCTGCCTTTGTTTTTTCCCCTCATAGCAGTATAGCATGATACTGTGTGTGAGTGTGTGCGCGCATAAGAAACATCTGGTGAATGGTGGGTGGCGACAGCTTTATGTGCCTGTGCCCAGATGGTGTCACAGCATAGCCTAGAAACTCTTATCCTAACCGCCCCATACCATATCCACAAAGTAATTTAAGGACCTACAGAGAACTGCATTCACTATAAAGTGGACAGTGAAACAGTAACTAACTGGATGTTATACAAAATATCTGTAATTATGAGAAGACAACAAACCATCCATTTTAACATTCACAACCACAATTAGTCTTGATTAGATGGCCAAACTACCCGGATAAATAATGTGTTCAGCGTGAAATTGACAACACACACCCACAAACAGACACGTATCTGCTCCCTTTGGGCTGATAAATAGTTGAGAATGTTGAAATGGCATCTAAACGCCCATCTCTGAGTTTTAATGGCACACCAGTGTATGGCAAAGAGAGTTAGCTTGTTACAGCTATTAATATACACTGCAACAGCTGTCCGTGTGTGAGTGTGTGGATGTGTGCAAGGGTATGCGTATGCAAACTCCATAGATTGTAATAGGGACACATCTAAAGACAGACCTCTACAGGCTACCATTTTCATTGAGACTCAAATCTCGCAGATGGCTTCGCTGCATTGATTGTTCAGTGTTTCGAAAGGACTTTAAAGAGCATGTTAAACATAAAAAAGAGTAAATGGTAGAGACACCAGTTTAATGATAACCGATTATAGACACTGATTAATATAAGGCAATAGGCATCAAACAACAATAATAAAAATATATAATGAAAATAATAAGAAGGTGTTGAAAATCAAAAGCAAAACATTCTGACGAGAGAGAAAAAAGAGTGAGACAGGCCTAGTGTTCCAAAACTTTGAGCAGTTCTACATTCTTTCTTAATTTTCGACTTTTTTGTCGTCACTGATCCAAGTCCTGTCATTAATTTTAATATTGTTAGGGTATAGAAGACGGCTGAATACCCCCAAATTTTGTAATGTTCTCTATGAAGAGATCATCTGTAAAGTGACTTCACTCTTTCTTCATGGCAGTGTTAAAAAGAAACACACATAGTAATGTATTACCTGTATAGGTGTAAATGCTGGCATCTCCGCTGTACACTACCTCTTCATGTGTGGGGCAAAGACTTCTTTCAGAAACGGAGTGTGTGTTAGTGTACGTGTCAACCATTTTGTAAGTGTTATTACTTCTGTTTGTATGTGTCGACAGGCCCATAGTGAGGTCTTTCGGTGTGGTGCTGATGAATGGAGAGTGTTCTGTGAATGGTGTGTCAGGGTGCGTGTGTGCAGTCAGGACCCATGTGCAGGCAGCCAGAGATGGATCAAGGTCACAGGAGCCACAGTAAGCTGTTGCTGCCGCAGCTACGGGACACACAGCGCCCTGCAAACACTGGTGCTGCACACATGACACAGACACAGACAGGGAGAGTTAAGCGGAGGGAGGGGAGAATAGAAATTAGGGCAATAAACATCAAAGCATACAAATGCAGAAGCTATTAGTTCATGACTGTATTTAGTTTTGAGTTGTATTTTATAAACATATCTTTTGTAAATTTAGTGCAAATACACAAGTATTAGATATGCGTGCACATGTGTGGATCTTATATGGGTCCTAATGACATCATTAGTGCTAATGGGAGCTCCTATCCTTTGTCCATGTATGTGTATGTGTGTATGTGTGCATGCTTGTGCCATCTCATGCTGATTCAGGAACACACAAACGCCACATGACCCCAGTTGATAAATGGAGGATGGCCTGTTCCCCAACTCCTGATGTGACAGTGTGAGTGAGTTTGACAGAGAAAGTGTGGGGAGAATTCCATCTAACCCAAATTCTGAGCTGCTGGAGATGTTCTACTCTGTCCTTTTAGTCACATTACAGCATTAAACAGATGTCTGAAATAAGTTGCGCTGGTATCTTTGACCTCAATTCCTGTATCTTTATGTGAAGTTATTTGCCAATTTTTGCATTTTTAACAAATGGATTTACATCTTTTTGTAAGGGAAGGCTTCAGTCAGGCTAGTCTACCGAAAGGCCTGATTGGTGAACAGGCACAGTGTTCACATTAACTGTTAACTTGTTGAACACCTGTTTGACCAGTATCCATGATCGTATGATTATATGCTATGCTATGGGAAATCTAGGAAATTCCTTCTTTAATGAAGCGTAAGTTCTTGCATTTCTGTGCTGAGATGCTGCATATCGTCAACAAATCTATGGTGGAAAGGGCAGTCTACATTACACCCGTCAGAGTCACTGACTCAAAGAAACTGATTAAACTGTTAAAGAAGGATGGTTCTGGGCAGGGAATTGCTCTGGAGCTCCTGGACTTAATCTTTAGAACCAGCAACAATATAATTTTTTACAGCAAAAGTGGTGTCCTGCAGAAACAATAATAAAGCCTTTCCTCAAAAAGGTTCAATGCTACATTTAAAATAATGAAAGTATTAAAAAAATGCATTTTGTTAAAGGAACTCACTGGAATAAAGAGGCCTGGTGTGGGTTGGTCAGCACACACGTGACGCTGGGGGTCAAAGCCAATCCCATTGCAGCATTCCTCTTCATGGTGTATGACCGTAGATCCACAGCACTGCAGCTTTATTGTGGCATTGCCAGAAGGGTGTATTGTGGGATTTCCTTCATTGTCCACACAGCAAAGAGATGTTGAAGAGTTGATATACTCCTGACCACAGCAGAAAAAGCCTGAAGACAAAAGAATATACATTCTCTTATCATTTTGGGTTCAATTATGAAGACATTGCTGTATAAAGAAACACGTTTTTTAACAAAAAACAATAAAGTGTTTTATCAGATCTATCAAACTGCACTGATACTTAACGTTAAAATCTCAGATACACTGCTCCATGTTCACTGTTAGAGTGCACACATACACGGACAGAACACACTCGCTCCATGCAGGAGGAGGCTCCCATTTCTGTAAATGAAGGCATCAGCCTGTCTCTCTTGTCCTGTCTCCACATCATGTTTTCTAAAATTTAAGTAGGAAAAAACACTTATCTTAATTCTACATTTGTCATGGTGCATTTCCTCTGTCAGTGATACCATACAAAAATATGCAGTTAATGCTATGCTGTTACTTCTCTACATTTACCAAACACTTTCTCCTTCTCTATTCTATCCATCTGATATGTAGACAACACTCCCTGGGCTACTCAAGGTGCGCTGAATATCCTCACACATATTCTCTTATCATTCTTATAGAAATTCACATTTCCTCTTCTCTCCATCCTTTCTTGCATATCTCTAGTTCTCTCTTATATTCAAGGCTGAGCAGCATATTCAAGGCTCAGCAGTAATACGCAGACTACACTTTGGAAAGAGTGCAAGTGAGGAAGAAGCGTGTTTTTCTGAGCTGCCAGTTGTGACAGTGACAGCTGATGTCTGTCTCCCTCTGCATCAACTTCAACAGCAAGGTGACATTTAAAATACATACTATCACCGTTCACCTGTAAATTCAAAGCTGAATATCAAATTCAAGAGATCTTTTCATAACATTCTCCGTAAAGTAGCTTCATGACTAAAATTAGTTTCTTCAAAAGAAGTCTAAAGTGGCTTAAGATTCAATATAGAAATTCCTGATGGCAGAAATTGATGTCTGACCTAGACTCCAAAACTTAAGTCTTGTAACTTACTGGTCGATACAATTATTATTTCTTGTAGAAGTTGTGTATGTGTTGAAAAAGATTTTCAAGACCCCAAGTGACCCCAACGTGAAAATAACTGAAAATAACATGCAATAAGATTCAAACGTTTGTCAAATAAACAAAGTAATAGTTGAAGAAAGAATAATGATGTAAACATCTAACAGCACCGCTTGATTATGACTAGTCATATCACTGAATGATTTCGGTAGAAGATGGGAACTAGCTGAATTTAATCAAACTTTTATTGCCATCTTAGTGTCACCTGTTAGTAGCCATCTGATACAGAGCGCTAAGCCATGCAAACCTCTACACACCCTCACACTCTCTCCTTAGAATAGAATCACAAACTGACCAAAGAAGTTTGCACATTTCTATTGTTTTGGGCCATATACAGTGTATGACTTTTTCATTTGTTAATGACATTGCTGAAGAGAAGCTGATTTAATTGTTGAACCTACTGCTGAGGGGCTTTTACTATATTCAACCATAAGTTCTGGAGGTTTACATTCAGTTTTAAAAGCTAAACCGTTTAAGGATCATACTAAGGTTGACGGTTCTATGCAGGATTTTTTGCAACTCTTGGTCAAACTTTCCGATGTTTCAAGGGATTGTGAATTTGGCTAAAAAGGAACTTAAAATAAAGTTAATATCTTAAGTTCAAGGTCCAGTTTATATTTCAGTATCTGAAGTGTGTCCACCCACTGAGTAGACTGATGAGGATGGAGTGCATCAGATGATAAGGTTTGTTTAATTCTAAGCTAAATTTTGTGCTATTTTGATGCAAGCCTGCCTTCCCCAGTGTGCCCACTCTGAAAGAGTAACCGACCTCTACAGTGACATGATTATGCTGACTTTGTTATACGTAAAAAAAGAGCAATCAAACATTAAATGTCCCCAGCCTTAATTCTTCTATGCAAGTGCTGCATGCTGGGCTCTGCGGGAGGCCACCTTGGGTGGCCGCCCATATCACCCATAACTAATTCCACCATTGCTCACAGGCTTTGGCCATGCACTGGATTAAGCTTGTGAAATATTGTAAAACTGACCCAGCAGCTTCCTGCAGTGATGGTGCATTAGAAATACAAATAAGAATGGAATGGCTTGACAAACGAAATCTGTTCTAATGATGGAAAAATGACAAATCTTAATAGAAGCTTTTCCCTCTGAGTTAGAGAGTTCTATGTCGTGATTCTTTAGCTTATTGTGAAAAGAGGCAATATTTTATGGAGATATTTAGCAAATATATCCTAACAATTGATGACATGCTGATCTGCGGCCCCATCTACCTCCAGCTGTGGTGCCCATTTTACTTGACAGAGGACATTAAACACCAAGTTACTGCTTTGTATCATAGCCTCAGCCCCTTAATGAGGCTCCAGCTAGTTATTGTATGATAAACAACTTATTGTTTCGCACCCTAATCAGCGTTCACTCTTTGAGCATGTTAAATCTTATTAATTTAAGCAATCATTTAACTTAAAGGCCAAAAGTGTGAAATGGTGCATAATATCTTCTGCGCTCTTGTAGTGCATTATACCATCAACACATCCATCATAGGCACCATGTGACAGCAAAACGCACGTGTATGTGATTGTGTGACATAAAGGCAGTCTGACGGCTAGTAACTCACTTAGCAGCGGCAGCTGTTGCAGAGCGGGGTCTTGGTGGCCAATTCCCTCAGCGCCTTACTTCAGCTTCAATGACGCGCAAATAAACAGCTCAACACTTTTCCAAAATAGCTTCTTTCCACTCATCTCTTGTCCTTTTGGTATCCTCACCTCTTTTTTCCCCTTCTATATGGACGACAGGGTCTCTGCAGCTCCGTTTTCACTCCCCCTCCCCTTTACTCAACAGCAAGCCAACAGTATTTATCTGTATCCTCTATCAGGCCTGTGTTCAAACAGCTCCTTGTGGTGATAACTCCAAAACACTTGTGACCTGAAGACTATGAGTAATCCCTCGCTTTTCCCTGAGACTCAGAAAGATCTTTTTCTGATCACTCATTTTCCCTACCTGCACACCTCTCCTCTATATCAGTCTACACACTCCTCCGTGTGTGTGTGGACTATGTTAGTATATTCATCATCATTGTACTCCCATGCCCTTTTTTCTTCTGTTCTTCCTGAAAACTGGTGAAACAGACTGATAAACTCTAGCACATACCTAACTCACGGATTTTCAATCTAATTTTTTACCAGTGAATCCTTCTGGATGTCATCTACTTATTTTTCCTATCACAATTAACTCTCTCCATCTCCCTGAATCCACACAGTTCAAAGGTCTACAATGTTTGTTTACTATTCAGCAGCTAAACTTCAGGACTGCATTATCACGGATTCAGCAGAAAACCAATCCCTCTCTTTGTGAGCGTTATCTGACGTGCTTGTACATTTGTGTGAACATTTTTCAAAACACACCCTCGTATTCCTTTACTCCCCATAAGCTGTGTGTTTTTGCTTGGGTGTGTATGTCCTGACAACATTCTGTTTCACACCTTTTGTTTTCTCTTGTGCATCACAGAAAGCTTCAGCCTTAATCTTCAGATTTACGCAGGATTTGCATACATTCGTTAATAGCGTCGGGAGCGCAGCGTCAACACAAAGTGCTTAGACAACGTGAATTATTATTAGGGTTTCACTCATTCCACTTAATGATAAGTCAATATTTAGCCCTGGCAATGAACTACAGATAAAAATGTGTGTTGTGGATTAGGGTTATCCGAGCTCTCTAGGAGACCAAAACCCCTGCACAACTTTAAACAAACCAAACACTTTTAAATTCCTGAATACATTACAAGGCCTGTGGAACAAAGTACAAAGCACGTGCACATCTACACAGGTTTGCATGCGTGCATATGAAGACACTGGTACTGAGGGAGGTTTCATTAATGCATCTTTCTGAACTTGGTAACAAATACTGTTTTGTATGTACCTGTACAGCTGGTTACAGAAAAATTGCTCCAGAATGCGTTGGTTCACATCAAACTTTAAATAAATGGCATTGACGTAAAGAGTCCTCAACTGGTTGGGGTCTGTCAACACACAGTCCCAGCAGGAGGAAATGCATGTGTGTGTGTGCGACTGTGTACGTATGCACTTTGTGCTCCACAGAGGCCAGACTGTATGTCATGTCGAGAGATGAAATCACAGTGGATTGACTTCCTCACACAGTGGATAGTGTTCCCCTGTGGACACACGCATGTGGATGTTGGGACAGCGAGCACACGCATAATCAAAGACACACAACTGCTCTTTTCCCAGCAGAATGGTTGTCCCCTTGTCTTCCTGACATCTTGTCTTATTTCTCTTTTTTAATCACAGCAACATTTACCAGCTGGGCTTGAGTGAAACACTGTGTGCATCTGAGCGCTTTCGTGTGTGTTTGTGTGTGTTCACAACCCAACAGGGATTAAATAAAGAGAAAGACAGCGTGCAAAGGGGTGGAGAGGAGTGACAGAATGACTGAAATGTAAAATGAGACCATAGCATAAATGGTTTAAACATTCACAAGCAATAAAAAAAACACAGTCAATACAAGGGAAATTAAGAGGTCCAAAAAGGATAACACATTTTCTTTCTCCCTCACTTTTAAACACAGGATTGGACATTAAAGAAATATAATTAAATGAGGAATATATTTTACAGAATATAAAACATAAGATTCCAGACTCCATGTTACCTTGAGGGTAATATCACATTTGCTACCAATCACCAAGTCCTTCAGCCCTACTAGTGCTCGCTCTCCTTCCGGTGATCCATTACTGAAGATAAATATGGTATGATCTGGGATATGTAGATTCAAGGATGCATTTGTGGCACCTTCAAATTTAGTGAAATTAAACTGTTAGCTTTTTTAAATTTATAATTTGAGAGCAGAGCAAGTCCTCCACACTCTTTATGGCAGGAGCCTTCTTATTCCTGCTCACTGACGAAGCACTGTTTATCATAATCATAAGATGCCTCCACACTTAGCCTTCCTCATGCTGTCCTTTACTTTTCCCTCATCATATCCATTAATCCATTTTACCTCTACTCGT